TGAAAGAGAATTTCCGAGTAAAGCATCAAACTTATCTACTGTAGATGTCAGGTCTTCGAATTGATTGAGTAGAGGAGGGATTGAAGATTTGTTGCTGTTCCGCACACTCTTGTAAAGATGCCAACAATCTCTAGAATGGCAAATGCGAGATGCTATACGCTGTTTTCATTCTCTCAGCAAATAGTAACTTCGCTTCTTTGAGGTCACGCTTGTACTCGTTACGAGCAGAGACAAAAAGACGTCTGTTGCAATCAGGTGTCCCTCTGGTATGTACGAGGGACACCTGATAGACACCTGATAGAAGGAAGAAGTGATTCTTGTGGGCTATAACGGCCGAGAATGCAGGTGAGAACCAAAGAAGTGAACGCAGTTTAACTTGCTATTTCCTTGCTTGAATGAAAGCATCGATACCGGCTTTCACCCAGAAGGAGTCATCAGCCGTGGATTTATGAACAGGATAATTGAAAACTTCAGTCCAAGGGACGTCACGAAGGAAATCATGGAACAAATCCTAATTTCCACGTTGATAACAGAAAGATATTCTGTTGGTAGGAGGTTCTTGTCTGGTGGGGGAGGGGAAGGAGATGTTTACAGACACAACCGCATGATCGGAGTTGCCAAGAGGGCAGAGCTGCGTATTACAACAAGAATCAGGGATAGAGATAAAAAAGAAATCGATAAGAGAAGCGTATCCGTCAGGGTTACCGGAGAAACCCGTGAGGAAGTCAATCATTTGCTTGAGAGATTGAGTGATTGAGAAGTTAAGGGTTTGGATGTCAGCAAGGTCAGTGACATAGTGTTTTAGCCACCTGATATAGTTGTCACCGAACACAAATATATTTGCAAACGGGTGTAGGGAGATGGCCTTGTCTATATTATCGGAAATAAAATCTAGCAGGCAGCAGTCTTGAGAGGAAGGGGAACGGTAGAGAGAGAAGGGATTGTTGTCTGAGTTAAGTAGAGAGAGACGGAGACACATGTAAGAATGGTCTGGAGATTCAAGAGAAAGTTCCCTAGCCAGCGGGATATGTTCGCAGACATAAACTGGGTATTAGTGTCCTTTCTTGCCCCTGTCAAGTTTTTGCGATCTATCTTCATTTTACGTAAACATGCAAAACTCAACAGAATCTAAACTTTCCATGAATAAACAATTATGTCACAAACAAAAGATTAGTAAGGAAACCCCCTAAATATTGGAAAAAGCAATAATACTAAACTTGAAAAATATATTTTCCGGAAATCGTACATACCATGCAGCTTATTCTCATTCCTTTCGTATTCCATTTGTATAGAAGAAGTTCGACTCGGATATCATTTCGCCAGAGCTGTTACGTTTTGGAACAGACTCTCGTAAGGATGCCTCCCCGATCAGTAAAATATTTCTGGTTTTGGATTAAGCGTTATCTATCCTACATATCCTCATAATATAAACCTCTTACCCCCCATTCTTCGCGTTTATAACAACTTCGATTAGTAAGCCTCTACATTCAGTGGTTGAAAAGTATAACAAATTTGACTGATAGCAACTCAAAGTATCAAAGTACCAGGCTAATACAAACATAACAAGCACTTACAAAAATCTTTCTAAGATGGTGTTAAAAATTGGCCAGTCTTTTGAACAATTTGCCTCTACAGTAATACCTTGAGATACGAACGTACTGACATACGAGTTTTTTTGAGATACGAGCCGGAGTTCGACCGATCATTTGCCTTGAGATACGAGCTGAATTTTGAGATTCGAGTGAGTTTCAGTTAAGTATCCGCCAGTTAGCGCAGCGAACGCCTTGCTTCGAGAGTATTTCCACTCGCAGTACACGGGTTGACATTGTTCTGGAAGGTTCTCTATTGTGTTGTGATATTTCACCGTTATTTTGTAAAATTCCTTTAGTGACACTATGCGTCCGAAGATGGCAAGTGTAAACAGCATTAGTGAAAAGCCGAAACGTATGATATCCCTTGAGGTAAAGCAGGAAATTATAAAAAAATCACGAGAAAGACGTATGAGTAATGAATTTGTCGAGACAGTATGAGCGTTCTACATCGGCGATAAATAAAATTAAAAAAATTTAAAAAATTAATTCCAGTAATGGATAAAATGTAAATGTTTTAAAAAATTATGTGATAAAGTTTCGTAGCCGTTGCTAGGCGATGTTAGCGGTTGCTCGGCGAGATTAGCGGTTGCTAGGCTACCTGTTGTTGTCCCCCCCTCTCTCCTCCGCTAGTTGGTCTATGACTCGTCTGAACTTCACAATTTGTTTTTTTTTTCTTTTCTTTTATTGTTTGTAAACTACATTTCTTGTTTATGCGCGCGTTTTTGCTTTAAGAAACCCACAATTGCAAAAATAGGGGTGAGTTTTAGGAAAATAAGGGTGATTTTTAGGGACCGGGAACGGAAATATTCCCATTAATTTCAATGGGGAAAATTGATTTATGTTTTTAGTTACGAACCCGGAACGAATTAAACTCGTATCTCAAGGCCTTACTGTATTGATATTCCATTATATATTTGGTAAAGTAGTCACATAAATATTCTTTTTAAGAGTTCTTCGCTACTTACGCACATCGTCCAGAGTATTCTCAGCATCCTTCTGTAGAAGAACATTCTTATTAGCTCTCGTCTTCTCTTCACGTGTGGTGAAAGTGTCCAACATTCACTTCTATATAGGAGGATTTATATAACACGGCAGTCTTTTTTGTCACCAAAAAACCTTCATGTTTCTTAGTACATTGCTTAGCTTTTGGAAGGCATCTTTGGCTATTCCAAATCGCTTTCGGATTTTGGTGTCACATGGTAACGACAATTTTAGCCGTTTCCTTATAAGGAGACACTCTGAAAATCTACATTTATTGACCAACCAGCCAGAACTTCTTTCGGTTGAAATTTATAAAAACTTCCTTTTAAAACAATTTTTCAGGAAAATGATTGTTTTTCGCTATTTCAAGTATTGATGGCAGTTTCCTTCCTAACCTTTTGTTCGTAGTAGTGTGGAAGATCAGCATCTTGATTATATCATTATTTTCTCTTCGAGTAACATATCCTGCCCATTTTAGTTGTTGCTGCTGTTGAAAGTCCTCAAGTGATGTGGTTCCTCTTATTTGGTACAGTTAATTTATTTGTGATTCTGTAGCATCAGTCCACAAGATTCAAAGAAAGGGGGTCCTCTCTAAGACCTACAGGCCTCATTCGGTCGAAGACATTTTTTTATTATCATTGATCTGTGAAAGCGGTTGTATACAGCTGAGAGTTTCTGGGTGTATTTGTCACCATTCAGGATACCCATATAAAAGTCTCAAACCGAGGAGGATAATTAAGAACATGACTGAAATTTTTAGGTTAATGTTTTGATTTTGTGGCAGCTTGTGATGCTGCGCAAAACTATTCCTGGTTCATCTGTCCATTTTTCTTATGTCTCTTCTAAATGCTTTCGTTAAAAGCTGCAACCCGTCTCCAAAATCTAGCAAATTCTTGCGTTGTTCTACGCTTGTTTGATTCTTTCAGGTCTTGTAGTATCGGAAAATTCCATTATGGAACAGCGTGGGCGGTAAAAAGTTACAGTTTATTCGTTGAAAAATTGTAGATTTTCAAACACGAAAACGTGTCCCACTGGGCGAGATTGTACAAACATATTTAAGTGGGAAAATGATTTTTTTCAGATCAGCTTTTCCAGATCCCGCCTACTTTAAGATAATCAATGCTGTTCTTAAATAGGGCTGCTTAATCACCACAAATGAAGGAACAAACATCTGTGTCATTCTATGAACGGCCGTCACGCATCCATTATCACAGCGCAGTTAGCTGACTAAAAGCAAGAAATTCTTACCCACCCCCATCATCTAATATTTCGTAGCCTATGGATATTTTTAAGAGAATCAAACAACTCCCTGGAAATTTGTAAGATACAAATTACGTCAATAAGCCATAATAATAAGTAGTGGCAAGTCTAAGGCAATACAAACTGAGGGTAGGTTTTGAAGTCAGATTTGCCTTTTCCTTGACTAGCTGGCACCTCAAAACGAAATGCTTAATTATTCTTGTTATTTAACCCATAGCTGGGTTGACTGTTGAAGGAAAAGGTGGAAGGGTATTTATGCGAAAGTGGATGCTGCGGACGAGGTCGGAAATCGAACCCGACTCACCGATTTCTCTTTCCGAGTCGCTAACCATCACATTAAAGATTACTGCAATTATAGATCAGCAACACTATAGCCGGCGAGAACTTCAACAAGCAAAGCGCCTAAGAATAAAATGGCGGCGTTATGGCAGTTTTCCAATTAGGTTGAGTCTATTTGTATTGAAAAATCAGCACTTGAAATTTGATCTGGAATGAAACACTGTCGCTCGTGGGAAATTCGTAACGATCACAGACATCATTCAAATGCAATTTGGATTGTTTTGTATTTAGATCAATTAAGCGAGAATTCATAATTTTATGAGTGTCATAGGAATGCTTTTTTCCAAGAGCTTCTTAAAAATTAAACATGTAATATACTTATTACTATAAACATTATTTTTTTAGTTGCTACCTCTGTTTTTTTTCTTAAACAGTGAAATTAATAACAACCTTCCTAGATTTAGAAATCCTAATAAAGAAAGATTCTGCCTCTGACAGGAATCGAACTTGTATCTCGTTCTTTATTAGAGAAACCGCTTTTTCGGTTATAGTTTTTAATGCCAATTTATGGTGGTAAAATTAAAAAAAATATTTACTGCCATTTTTATTACCAGCTAATCTATATAATTGAACAAATCTATTTTTTTAAAAAACAATTGTACTCTGAGATTGGAGGTTAATATATTTAAGACATTGATTTTCTCTGATTGTTTCATTTAATAAAGGAATTCTGTCTACTTTAACTTTAACTTCAGTTCACTATGTTTCGCAATGAACGCTCGTGGTTTTTCACTTAACATTATCGTCGACTAGTGTTCCAGAACGAGGCTCTCATGTAAGAAATGGTAAGAGGTGACATCCTTGTAGTCGTAAGCGTAATCTATATAAATGGTGGTCCTTCATATTCGGTTTTCTCATTGTTTCTCTTTCTATTTGTCACTCTTCTTCCTCCACTCGAAGAAAAATAGCATCTCTGTAACTCACGTCTTTTTTCATTTTTAATCTCGCCATTCCTGCATCGTCACCCCCCCCGTTCGCTCTGTTTTTGATGTCATCTTTTTCGTTTTTCTATCTTTCTTTGTCCTTATTTTCTTGACTTTTCTTGACCCTATTTCGGCTTCTATTCTTCGACCTTTATTTTAATTTTACTCTCTCTATGCTTATAGTCTCACCTTCTCTTTCAATTTTACTCCCCTTCTTTTTCAGTTTTACTCCCCTTCCGTTTCAATTTTACTACCCTTCCCTTTCAATTTTACTCCCCATCTTTTTCAATTTTACTCCCCTTCTTTTTCAGTTTTACTCCCCTTCTTTTTCAATTTTACTCCCCTTCTCTTTCAATTTTACTACCCTTTCCTTTCAATTTTACTAACCTTCATTTTCAGTTTTACTCCCCTTCCCTTGCAATTTTACTCCCCTTCTTTTTCAATTTTAATCCCCTTATTTTTCAGTTTTACTCCCCCTTCACTTTCAATGTTACTCCCCTACTTTTTCAGTTTTACTCCCCTTCTCTTTCAATTTTAATCTCAATCTATTTCAATTTTACTCCCCTTCTTTTTCAGTTTTACTACACTTTCAATTTTACTCCCATTCTTTTTCAGTTTTACTCCCCTTCTTTTTCAGTTTTACTCCCCTTCACTTTCAATTTTACTCCCCTTTCTCTTTCAGTTTTACTCCCATTCACTCTCAATTTTACTCCCCTTCTTTTTCCGTTTTACTCCCCTTCCCTTTCAATTTTACTCTCGCTCTCTTTCAATTTTACCCCAATTTTCAGTTTTACACCCCTTTCTTTTAATTTTCTCTCGTTCCCTTTCAATTTTACTCCCCCTCTTTTTCAATTTTACTCCCCTTCCCTTTCAATTTTACTCCCCTTCTTTTTCAGTTTTACTCCCCTTCCCTTTCAATTTTACTCCCCTTCTTTTTCAGTTTTACTCCACTTCATTTTCAATTTTACTCCCCTTCTTTTTCAGTTTTACTCCCCTTCACTTTCAATTTTAATCTCAATCTATTTTAATTTTACTCCCCTTCTTTTTCAGTTTTATTCCATTTCCCTTTCAATTTGAGTCCCCTTCTTTTTCGGTTTTACTTCCCTTCCCTTGCAATTTTAATCTCAATCTATTTCAATTTTACTCCCCTTCTTTTTCAGTTTTACTCCCCTTCACTTTCAATTTTACTCCCCTTTCTCTTTCAGTTTTACTCCCATTCACTTTCAGTTTTACTCCCCTTCCCTTTCAATTTTAATCTCGCTCTATTTCAATTTTACTACCCTTCCCTTTCAATTTTACTCTAGCTCTCTTTCAATTTTACCATTCATTTTCATTTTTACTCCCCTTCCCTTTCAATTTTACTCCCTTTCTTTTTCAGTTTTACTCCCCTTCATTTTCAATTTTACTCCCCCTATTTTTCAGTTTTAATCCCCTTCTTTTTAAATTTTAATCTAACTGCATTTCAATTTTACTCTCCTTCATTTTCAATTTTACTACGCCTCTTTTTTAGTTTTACTTCCCTTTTAATTTTCTCTCGCTGTCTTTCAATTTTACTTCCCCTCTTTTTCAATCTTACTACCCTTCCCTTTCAATTTTACACTCGATCTCTTTCAATTTTACCCCCCTTTCAGTTTTACTCGCCTTCCATTTTAATTTTCTCTTGGTCTCTTTCAATTTTACTCCCCCTCTTTTTCCATTTTACTCTCTTATTTCCATTTTCATCCTTTTCTCTTTCAATTTCACACTCCTTCTCTTTCACTCTCTTACCTTTGTCTTCCTCATTTTCTATTATTTCTCTTCAGTTTTATTTCTGTAATTTTTCAAATAATGAACGAACGGGATTCGCTTTTTCGTATTTATGAGAAATAAATTTTCATATTTCCATATAGATTATCTTCTTAAATTTGTGCCAACGACGAGTGGAAAGAAAGGTCATCATAATTATATAGGAAGCAATTTATGGTTGAATTGAGTTCCATAATTACTTGATCGCTGAAAACCCGATTGCAATTATCTGTGGTGTCCGTCCAAATAAACCGAACAATAAATACGGCCAAAGGTCATTGAAATTTGAGACGGAGGACAAATAGAAAAGAAGTATCTATCTATCTATCTATCTATCTATCTATCTATCTATCTATCTATCTATCTATCTATTACAGTTCAAATCCATTTAAAAAAATCCATATCTATCTATTCAGGTCTTCTCATATCACTTTCTCTCCGTATAACGTGATAATATGTCTAAAACTACTGATTTTGTCGTTGTCAACAGCTTGTAAATAACTGGTTAAGTAAAGCAGTTATGCAAATACGGTTGGTCGAAGTGTTCACTCAAATCAACTTCTCCGTTAAACATTGTGATATGAAAGCGACACTATTTTTCTCATGGTTTAACAGCCAATTAGACTATAATTGCCCTGACTAAACATTACACATGGATTAATGTAAATAAATAAATAGATATACACAGATAGAAATATATATGAACATACTAAAGTAGATATGGTGGGGTATTATGTACACTATTTACATTATTCGGACTCTTGTCCTCATATTTGTCTCCATATTTATTACAACGTTTCGGCCCTTCAGTGTCTGTCTATATTTCTGAGATGAGGTATTATGTACACTATTTACATTACTCGGACTATTGTTCTCATCTTTGTCGCCATATTTATTACAACGTTTCGGCCCTTCAGTATCTGTCTATATTTCTGAGATGAGGTATTATGTACACTATTTACATTATTCGGACTATTGTCCTCATCTCGTATCTGTCTATATTTCTGAGATAAGGTATTATGTACACTATTTACGTTATTCGGACTATTGTCCTCATTTTTTTACCATATTTATTAGAACGTTTCCGCCCTTCAGTATCTGTCTATATTTCTGAGATGAGGTATTATGTACACTATTTATATTATTCGGACTATTGTCCTCATCTTTGTAACCATAAATATTACAACGTTTCGGCCTTTCAGTATCTATTTATATTTCTGAGATGAGGTATTATGTACACTATTTACATTATTCGGACTATTGCCCTCATATTTGTCGCCATATTTATTACAACGTTTCGTCCCTTCAGTATCTGTCTATATTTCTGAGATGAGGTATTATGTACACTATTTACATTATTCGGAGTATTGTCCTCATCTTTGTTGCCATATTTATTAGAACTTTTAAGCCGTTATAAAGGCGGTGGTTAGATTCAGTGATAGTCCCAAAATGTGTGTGTTCAATACTCGCTTAAGGCAGTGGTGAACTTGGAGATGGAAATTAACAGGAGCTAATTGATAAATGATATCCATTAAACATGGCACGTAGAACTAGAACAGTCTACTCCAGTGAGTGAAATAAAGGGTTCAGTTTGACATTCCAACCACCTGAAGAAGGCCGGAGCGTACAATGGCCGAAAACGTTGTAATAAATATGGCGACAAAGAATAATGTAAATTGTGAAGTAGATATATATAGAAATATGAACTGATTGAAATAGATATGAACAGATTAAAATAGATAAATACATCGATATGAAAATACTGAGACAGACTGATATATATATATATATATATATATATATATATATATATATATATATATATACACACACACACACACACACATATATATGTGTGTGTGTGTGTGTGTGTAGACTGAGAGATAGATATGAACAGACCCAGATAGATAGATAGATAGATAGATAGATAGATAGATAAATAGATAGATATGAACATACTGAGGTAGATAGATAGATATGAACAGACTGGAATAAATCGATAGATATATAGATATGAATAGAGATAAATATGGAATTACTGAGATAGATATATATGAAGAGACTGAGATGGGTAGAGAAATCGATATGAGCAATTGATGATAGATAGATATGAACAGATGGAGATAGATAGATAGATAGATAGATAGATAGATAGATAGATAGATAGATAGATATGAACAGACTGTGATGGATATAAACAAACTGAAATAAGTAGATATATCCAGTCAGGTATTTATATGTTCAACATGTCATTCCGAGAGAAAGCTTTCATTATTACAAAAAAAAAAAATAAATAAATAAAATAATATCTCTTGAAAATGATTTCTCTTCGAAAGTCACTCGTCTATTCTAGCATCCTTAGTGCCTCCCAGACTTATTTAAATGATTACGAGTGATCAAAGATGGAAGACGTTTGTCGCGCCAATCTTTTCATTGAAAATAATCTTCCAACCTAAAAAAATTATACCTTTTCCAACACTGGCCGTTGGCATCAACTTGCTGACCCAATTCTCTAATTTCTTTTATGAGGAGAAAGAATAAAAATGATGCTCGATGAGATTTGATTATTTCTTGATTATTAAAAATAAACGTAACTCGAAAAAGAATGTCTGGACCGTTGATTTACAACAAACATGGCGCTGCTATATTAGCTTATGATGAAGAGATGCATAGCAGAAACTGGTCGGAGTCAACTAATATAAATTTTAAATTTTTCAACTATGAGAAATAAATTCAAAAAGTTTCAGAAATGCAGCTTCATCTTTAGAAAGAGCAGAAAATTAACGTTGTTTTTTTTTTAATTTTTCAACAGTTTTGTTTTCATTATCAAAACTGTCTTAAGAATTTGAGCTCCTCATTTAGGCTATGAAAAAGTTTAAAATCACTGTTCTGCCTTAGATTAGAAAATTGATTATCAAATAAGAGGTACTTAGCTCTCAGTGGGAATATTGTTTAATATAAGAGAAAGAATTTAACCTCACGTGGAATTCGTTATTGAATCAGATGGAAGTTTAAGGATAATTGAAATAAATTTTATTTTATAAATGAATAAATTGTTTCGGTAATTATCACTTTAAAAGTAGAAATGGCGAAAAACTTTCTGTTAAAATAATTGAGGGAATGGAAGAATTTGATTTGACATCGAAAGTGGTAGAATGAAACACTGGAAATAATGTTACCTGAGATTACCAGGGGATGAATATGATCCGGGATCACGAGAGGGGGAATGTGATATGGGATCACAACAGGAGAATTGTGATATAGGATTGACAGTGGAAGAATGGGATCTGCGATTGCCAGTGGAGGAATGTGATATGCGATTGCCAGTGGAGGAATGTGATATGCGATTGCCAGTGGAGGAATGTGATATGCAATTGCAACGGGGGAATGTGATATGAGATTGCCAGTGAAGGAATTTGACATAGGATTGCCAGTGGAGGAAATTGATATGGGATTGCCAATGGAGGAACGTGACATGGGATTTCCAGTGGAGGAATATGATATGGGATTGCCTGTGGAGGAATGGGATATGCGATTGCCATTGGCGGAATGTGACATGGGATTGCCAGTGGAGGAATATGATATGGGATTGCCAGTGGAGGAATGGGATATGCGGTTGCCAGTGGAGGAATGTGACATGCGATTGCCATTGGAGGAATGTGACATGCGATTGCCAGTGGAGGAATATGATATGGGATTGCCTGTGGAGGAATGTGACATGGGATTGCCATTGGAGGAATGTGACATGCGATTGCCAGTGGAGGAATATGATATGGGATTGCCTGTGGAGGAATGGGATATGCGATTGCACCGAGGGAAATTGATATGGGATTGCCAGTGGAGGAATGTGATATGGGGTTTGCCAGTGGAGGAATGGGATATGCGATTGCCAGTGGAGGAATGTGACATGGGATTACCAGTGGAGGAATGGGATATGCGATTGCCATTGGCGGAATGTGACATGGGATTACCAGTGGAGGAATGAGATATGCGATTGCCATTGGAGGAATGTGACATGCGATTGCCAGTGGAGGAATGTGACATGGGATTCCCAGTGGAAGAATGAGATATGGAATTGCAACGAGTGATCACATGGTAAATAATCTGGTTTGGGATCACAAACCAATGGCATGTAATCTGGATTAAAAAACATTTCAATGTCACTTGGAACTCTGAAATAGCTTATTTAGAAGTAACGAAAGGAGATAAATATTGGGTTGGTGCATAATTATCAGGCGTTTTTCAACAATATTTATTATGAAAAAAGAAACATAACAATCCAACAATAACATTTTTAAATGATTATTCCGGAGCGTAGGAACCTGAAAATAAAATAATATTTTTATTAAAAAAAGTAAACAAAACAGCAATTTATATTAACAAATAACTCGCCCACAAAAACGTCTGAAAATTATGCACCAACCCAATATATATTAATCACGTTATAATGATATAAGTTTGCTTGTTTCTTAGTTCCATAGTTAGCATATACGTTACGCCCTATCAATACCTCTCAAATAATGGACTATTCCGTTTTGACTGCGGGGAAATACGGAAAAGACATATCGGAGGCGACATTTGAAGAAAGAAAGAAAGAAAGAAAGAAAGAAAGAAAGAAAGAAAGAAAGAAAGAAAGAAAGAAAGAAAATAGATTAAGTGATAGCGCTCTCAATTTTTTAATATATGATTCAGTGGAATAAATTATTTGACCTACTTAAAACAAAACCTAACAGCCTTGATGAGTCTCTTTTATGTATTGTATTATACTCGAAAAGGTTGTATATGAAAAATGTTATGAACAGTTTTGTGAAAAAATATCAAATGTTCTGAAAATCTAGGTTTGCTTTCATTTGTCGACCATTGGTACTCAACATGAGAGTTAATTTGGGCTATTCGGGAAAATGTCATGAAAAATATTTTTTGAGAGAAAGAAATTGAATTATTCATATGAATGAAAGAAGGAGATCTTCTTAAAGTAAGTGATACATTACTGATCCAACAGACGATTTGAAGATGCTAAACCCGAAGCTCCAGGGCCCAAAGCAGGTTATAAGAAAAAAGATAAAGTCTTTCAAGTGCAAACTTTTTCAGTGAGCAAAGCAGTTTGCAGGCGGTAACTTGGCTCGCTTTATAGCTTTTGCAGTCATTAGTCAGAGCCGAACCACAAGCGCTTAGGAGAATATGCAGATAAAATTCTAAATATACTTGAAGAGGTTGACCGGCATCTCCAAGACTTTTAGCATGAGAAAAGTAATTTATGATTTTTGCTACTCCATAGAAAGTTTCTGAGGAATTCTAGATGCTTGAGTTCTTCTACCATACTAAAGCAGAAATATTCAGATGCTACTGTTCCAAATTTTAACAGTTCCTTTGACATCTGTCTATATTTCGAGATGAGATATTGTAATTTACATCGTTCGTACAAATTCGAGATTATTCTTATATATTTCACAAATATATCAAGATTATCGAACAGGTCAAACATTTCCTTGTATCGTATTTTAACAAACGATTTTACATAATTAATAAAACATCGATATACATCCTCTTTAATTTTTATCGCTCTTTCCGGTATAATTCGGAGTTTGAATATCACATTCATTATTCTAATGTCATTAATAAAACTGTTATCTTCTTATTTCCGATCGAATTCTGCTACACACTTTATTGAGCTAAAACTCTCTTTCTCCGTTATGTTCCCTAGAAATTGCGTGTAAGCACTAAACCGACAATAATAATCGTAATAGAAAACGCAACATAATTTGGTTCAATCCACCTTTTAACAGTAATGTCAAAACCAACATCGGTAGGATTTTCCTAAATTTAACCCACAAATTTTTCAGCCATAACCCTTTACACAACAAAATCTTCAATAAGAACAACAGTAAGATTAGTTACAGTTGCACTAGAAACCTTGAGCAACACATAGCATACTATAATAATGTAACTTTTAACAAATACTTAAGCAACACTAATAGCAATATTAACACAGAAAAAAGTGTAATTGTCGAAAAGGCATTAACTGTTCAATGAAACATAAATGTATATATAAAGGCGTCATCTGCAAGGCTAGCATTAAACATCATTGTGAGTCAAAAGTTTTATTTCGGTTCCACAGCCAACAACTGGAAAACAAGATTTTACCATCATAAAATGACTCTTAAAAATAAGCAATATGCAAATGCTACAGCACTTTCAAAAATTTTACTGGGATATTAAAACAGATGACTATGCACAGATAATAAATTGGAAGTTCGTCGCCAAAACTACACCCTTTCCGGCCGTGGCGACCGATGTAACCTGTGTTTGTTTGAAAAAAGATTCACCCTCAAAAATTTGAATGACCAAAATCTACTTAATAAAGGAAATGAACTAATGTTAGCTTGTAATCACAGAAAGAAATCTCTCTTAAAATATTTTAATTCTGGACAAATAAAATTATCCAAATGTCACAAGCCCTTCCTATATTTTAGGTTACATATTGATTACCTTCCTTTAACCATTTATTATTATTTGACGAGTTACCCGGCGTTCCTCTTTTAAATTTTAAGCTTGCTTTTTTTCTTCTTTTACAATTGCCTTCTAACTACACTCTACATTCTGTATTTACACACCTAGAATTTATTAAATTTGAGCTTTGAATCTACGTTTAATTTAGCGTTCCTCCCAGCAGTTTTTTTAAAATCAAAAGTAATAATTCGTGCCTGATGAGTTGGTAGAACAATGAAACTTAAGTTGCACTTTGAACTTAGGTATATGTATGTTTATTAATATATACTTGTTTGTCTAACCACATTAAACATTATTTAGTTTACACCTTAAATTAAATTGAGTAAATATTTATTCATTTACGCACGCTATATACGGTTGTTAATACCTAGTTATTAGATTTATCCACATTAATACCTATATATATATATATATATATATATATATATATATATAATTATATATATATATATATATATATATATATAGGTACTAATGTTGATAAATATATATATATATATATGTAATGTGGATATATACACACACACACACACACACACACATACACACAAACACACACAGATGGTGCGATGGGTAAATTGTCGCCATTTTATATTTTAATTTCGCACAAGCGCGTTGTTTGTTATTGCTTTTGTTGACTGCACAGCATAGTAGGGTCAGTTGAGAACTGTCTGTGTGAAAAAAGAGGACTATGACGCAGTTCATTCTGCCAGAAATTTGGAAACAGCATGCAATACTGCTTGGCATCCATTCCGGAGGCTCTGATCCGAACATTTCAGAGTGTTTGGGTGGTGTCAATATGAGAACAGTGCAGAAGATTCGGAAAGAGCTGAATTAGTCTAATGTTGATTACGATGATACGGCAGTTCGGAAAACTCATCTGATCGTTCGGATAAGAAAAGAACTCTTGAATTTGTGGGTGAGATGATTGAAATCGATCCCTCCAAGTCAATCAGATCCGTAGCTAAGGATGTAGTACTGCCCTGGATCAAGAGGGTGGCTGCCGGAAGACCCTATGTCTGGCAATAGGACACTGCACCGTGCGACACAAGCTGGAGAACTCAGTCATGGTTGTGAGACAATTGCTACGACCACATCACCCCCTTACATTTGGCCACCTAACTCCCAAGACTGCAATGCCCCTGATTATTATGTGTGGGTCGCAGTTGTGTGAGAGAGCAACAAAACTCCTTTTGACACCAAAGATGAACTGAAGGCAAAGATTATGGCAGAATTTACCAACAAACAAGGAGACCGTCCAGAAGAGATGCAGGAGATTCCGAAGTCGTCTGGAGGTCGTGGTTGAAGCCAATGGCGATTTTGTTGAATGCATTTTCAAGATATTTTTCTGTAGTTTTGGTAAATATATCTATTAAAATGAGATGTCAGTATTATTTTCATTTTTGCGTAATTTAGACGAGAATTTATCCATCGCACCATATATATATATATATATATATATATATATATATATATATATATATATATATGAAAAAATTCTTCTTGGTAGAGAATTTAAGTATTGTTATGAAAACGTTAAACTGAATATTATTTAAAATAATTAAAAACGGATGGTAGAAATAAAGGGGAAATCTAACCGGTTTTGCTCCCAGTTTTCAAAGTTTTTAATCGGAAAATTCTTAAAAAGGTAAAATACAATTAATATAATTAATGAATGATTAATGAGTGGGCATAAAAAGAGACAGGAGAAGTACTAGAGACTAATGATAGCAAGCCCCAGCAAACAATCACGCTGTTTGCAGAGAGACGGTTTACGAGACTTGATATACAGTGACTCTAGTACTTTAAGATAAAATAAAGTGTGTAACTAGGACAAAACAGTAAACCAGTCAAAACTGAATTTAGCTGCACACTTACAGTTACTTAAAAGGTGCTCACAAATTGAGGATCTGTAGGTATTTGGGATTAGTTCATTTGAAACTAAGATGTGATTCCTGATCTTACCAGGCACGTGTTGTTTTATCCTCAGGTCGCTGGTCTGTCCTCCCTAAAATTTGTCTGGATTCACACACACACATACACATGCACACAGATAATAGTTGTAACTGGGCACAAATACATAATTTTTCACGCACGAGTCGTGAGTTTAGTAGAAAGGTAGACTGGGCTTTGATGCCTTGGCTGGTCAGAAATCTAAGAGAATGAAAACTCTGAATTGCACATCTTGGAGAAGACAACGGAAAATAACTAACTTATTCTTAACAAGAAAACATTGCAGTTCATATATAATAAAGAAATTCGATGAAGAGGCAGACCATTTAAAAATTACACTGTTATTTTAATTTAATTTCGTAAAATATTTCGCACAATACTTTGAAAAAAATGAATATCAAAAATCGTTCCTTCGAAAGAAACAATTTCAAATGATCTGCTGGTAAGGAACAATTTAGAAAAGGGTGATTTTTACTAAAATATAAATGCAACTATGATTGAAAATGGAAGTCTGTTGGTGTTGATGTCGTGACGTAGTTCTATAGATATTATTTAGAAATGTTGTCGCTTTGATGATCGAA